GCAATACTATAAATTTATTATTAATTTTGACTTCAACAAATCAGAGTCTATTTAATGTGTTACTTTGGACTATGCAGGCCTTTTATCTTCTAGTCTTCTAGTTTAGTCATTTATATGAATAGCTATTTTAATTGTGAGATATTTTCTTATAAGGTTCCCCCTCCCCCCCAAGCTGAGGAGAGGTGAGTTTGGATAATGTTGGATTTGCATGAGCTCTGAGGAGTCTATGGTACTCTGTGGTGTCGGTGATTCAAAATCCTAGCATTTATTTCTCTAAGGTAATTTTGTGTTAGCAGAGAGGCCAGAGAAGCAATATTAAAATAAGAAGTAAAACAAAAATGAGTGCCTACTTGGTCCCATTGGAAAAGCCATTGTTTTTTTGACTGTAGTAAAGTACTAATGTACTTTCTAAAGTATTTTGTGTAATTATAGCGAGGTCTTATTCTTGCATTTGAAGAAATAGCCAGTGATGCCTGCATGTGTGAACTATGTATTTCTGACTCTCCTTTGTCTTGTAGCCTGGCTATTGGAGGTACTATACTTAGTGTTTGTGTGTGTGTGTGTGTGTGTGTGTGTGAACTGGGGTGTAGGCCAGATGTGAGGGGTGAGAGGATTCACCAGAGACAGAGTAGGGAGCAGAAAAGGTGGATTTCCTAAAGTACACTGCTAAGAGGGTGCAGCAGATGAGACAGGCGAGGTCTGCTGTGTCATATGTGGGTCAGCTCCCATGCCAGTCACAGTTGAGATCTGCTTACCTCCTGGATTCATAACACTGATAGACACATTTAAACGCTCACTTTGACTGTTTATTTTGTGGACTTTTATCTCCAGGCACACATAGAATCAAACATGTATTGCATACACGTGAAACAACCTCTCTGAAGGATGTGTGAGAAAAACATATTGACCTGAATAACTTTATAAAGGAGAAGTCTGTAATACTAAAAGCAAATCAAACTACATATTAGCACTGTAGTTGATAAAGTTGTTTCTCATGATGACATGATTAACAATTCTGATAGCACTTTACTTAGATTCTGGACATGAACAACTAGATAAATGGGTTACAGATGGCAGATTTCTCATGACTGGTCTTGGAGCTTAGAGACACACAAGGGGGCTAGGCTAGAATGACCCATATGGGTGGGGAGCAGGCACAATGGACTATGATGGAGGACTGGGGGTACCTTGGCAGTAGATGGGTGTGGTAGCATATATCTGAAGAATATGGTCCTATACATTAAATCATATATGGTGTTGTAAACCAGTGTTACTTCTTTAAAATAATAAAATCCAAGAGAAGGGAAAATATGGAATCATCTATATGGTAAGGAGTAGCATTTGAGACATCAAAAACTTGTGTCTAATTTAACAAGTAATAGATACTTAACTTTGAAACTATTTGTAGGTGGAATAATTGCATATAATACATTCCTTGCTTGGTCGAAATAGCCTAAAAGCTAGTCCCCTGCTGTAGCAATGAGTACACCCAGCACCGTCATCTGAATATCTGATATGATTGTCTAGTAAAAGGAATGAGGACTCCTTGGAGAAAGGGCTTCTTCTAGGACTGGAACAGAAAACATACATCTGATTATATAGAAAACATTCATCTGATTATACTAGAAAATAATGCTTAAAAATCTACAGGGTTGAGAGTACGTTGAAGGAATTTTACAGGAAGCTACTAAAAGGGCCTCAGTGGTCAAGCTATTCTAAAACTATTTGGACAACAAAATGTAATATTGGATTATAAACTTGAGTATAAGAAGTCTTTGAGTCTATATCGATATAAGTGAATAAATGATTATAAGAAATAAATGGAGAAGAGACAACTGTCCATGCAAAAGTCTAAATATTGCATGTAGGTATTCCCCCTTTGTGGAAGTGAATTGTAACACCACCTTCCTTTTGTGTCGAGTACACATTAGTACTTTTTGCCAGAGAACAGTAAGGAAGATAGCAGAAAGGAACTTGCTTGTCGAGAAACCTGGCTCACACGGTATCTCCACCAAGTGTTCCAGGTCAGCATCAGTAGTGATGAGTCATGTGAGTATCCTTGATACGATATGGAAATCACACTTTATCTCAATGGTTTTCCTCACAGATGACCCATCACTCAATTTAATTGTGAGAAAAAGGACAATTGAAGGAATACCACACGAGGGAAATTGTATATAATAGCTAACCAGTTAGGATCATCAAAATGAGGAAAGTAATAGCCAAGAAGAACCTGCAACCATGACAAATATATTATGTATCCCGGATAAAGTTGAATTTTGAATAAAACTAAGGAATTTTATGTAAAATATGGGTTTGGGTTAATGTGTATATTGGTTTATTCATTATAGCAGAAATACCATGCTACATAATCTGTTAATAATCATGGAAACTGTGGTATATATGGGAACAATGAATTATCTTTACAGTGTTGCTGTAGACCGAAAGCTGTTGTTAAAATTTAACATTTTTTAAAAACAACTAGATCATATTGGATGCTATTCTGAGCCACATGCCTCATTTTATGAGTGGGTCTGGAATGGACCCTGTGTTCCTACTCCAGGACTACTGCTGTGACCATTAATAGTGTTCTTCTCTGCTCCTCCCACATTATGTCAGGAAGAGCCTGCTTCCTTACTGTGCTCCCTGCTCTCCCAGAGGAATCTGGCTCTTTCAGTTAACTTTAGATAGTGTGGTTTACAAGTTATCATTTTTAGCCCTTGAGTTGTAGGCTTGGTCTTTTATCTTAATATTCTTTTCTGAGCAGCTTCAAAGAATTTAGATAATATCCAGTGCTGCCCCCAAAAGCCTTTGAGTGAATCAGAAAACAATGCGATGGATCAGGAAGACATATATTGGTCTCTTTGTAAATTTGATATAATGTCCCCCTCACCTTCCTACATCTACTTGGGGGTTTTAATTACTTCTCTTTCATGACCTTATTTCTGATGTTACAGAGACTCAGCATTGGTACTGTGGTCCCATTCATTCATTCATTCATTCATTCATTCATTCATTCATCTAGTGATCAGCTTAGCACATGCCTACTCAGGACCTTTACATTTGCTGTTTTCCTGCTTATAAGTCTCTTTCCAGATTCTCCTCATTCAATTCCAGAGATGGCTTTCTGATGACTTTTGAAATCAACTTTCTCAGACACTCTACTTCATTGCATCTCATTATTCTTCATAGCATTTATCACCCCCTTGACATTTGTTAAATTTGCTATTGTCTTTCTCTTCTGGAAAATCTGTTCACAAAGGGGAGAAGTTTGCTTTGTTTAGTGGGCTATTCTGAACTTCTAGAGCAGAATCTAGCACAGAGTAATCACTCAGGGAATGTTTGTTGAATGAATGCATTCAGCTTACCACATGCAGACATGTCTGCATTTCTCCCAGTGGACTTACAGACCAAAAGAATAGTATACTTGATCTCTGCTCTTATAGATCAGAATTCCTACCGAGGTTCTTGTTTCACTTACATTTGCTTTCACATAGATTGTCTCTTTTGATTGCTTGTATAAACTATGAAGCAAACAAGAGTTTTCAGACTTAATTTACAAACAGGATGTTGTAAGGTAAATATCAGCGCCAAAGCTCAGAGTCAGATCTCTTGACTTCTGGCTGATCAAGTAAGCTTTATATTTTACCTGCTTCTGAACCTGGAATGAATGTCGTTGAGAGCAAGGGCTTGAATTATTTGTTTCTGTATTTTTCACTGTGCCTTACAAACAATGTGCTTATTGAAGGGGTACTGATTTGAATCTTTCAATCCATGCAATAGTCATGAAAATACTTTTTCCCAATTGAAACAGTGGGGAAAGTTTTAGCCACCCTTTTCCTCCCGTTCCACTGAGCCACTTCTTTGATGGATGTTGGGAGAATCTCAGACGTTAGCCTGTAGTTCCAGAGTTTCAATGGACTATGACCGTGGATTTGCTCAGAACATCACCTTGTATCCTGTTGGTACTCAGCTTCTGACTCGGTATGGCCAGGGAGTATACATTTTTAACAAGCTTCTGTGTGTGCCCCTGCTACCTGTTTGTAGTTAAGGCTTTGAGAATTTTGGGGCTAGGTCACTGCATGCTGGATGAGGGTCTTCTCTGGCTGTCTCACTCTAGGTGACTTTGAGAGTTGCTCTTTTGTTTTAATGTTTTACTCGTAATGGGCATTTTTCTCTGCTTACTATATGACCTCAAACAAGTTACTTAACCTTGATTTCCTCTTCAAAAAGGGAGACCATATTAGAACTTAATTCATGCAGTTGTGAGGATTAACTGAGTTTGTACCTGTACAACATGAAGATGAGAGCACATCTGATATACCCTGCAGTGAGTCTGAAATATTGTTATCATGTATTTGTCTCCTTATGCTGGCCTGATAAGTTACAACCATGGACTTAAGAGACATAGGAGAGACAGAAAGGAATCCTTTAACATATTTGCAACTTGTAATGTGGCTTGAAATGGTTGTGAAATCCTCATCTGTTTGGAAGACATTTTGCTCGCCTTAATGAACATCATAGTGAAAATCCTGCAGTGATGGATGACCCATGTTGTGTTGTGTCACTGTGTTGTAGACTGCCCACCAAGCATAAGAACAGGGGGGAGAAATGAATAGGCACTCCAGTTTTGTAGTTCTAACATGTTAGGTTATATGATGTTCAGCACAGAGCATAAAATTGTTTTTATTCATCTCAGTTATGCATTAAATAAACCAAGTTGATTTTAATTGGTGATATGGAAATAGAGGCAGGAGCCCCAGGGTACAGTGAGAATCCATTTGATGCCTAATTTAATTCATCTTAGGGTAAAAGAGGGAAAAAGTATGGATGGTATTGCTTTAAAGAGACATTTTTGGTTTTCATTTTTCAAACAATTAATGAACAACGTAACTGTTTTCATCAGGAAAAAATTTACATAACTTGCTTCTCCCACTGACTCCAAAGTGTAAAAGCTAAGTTTTTTAATTAACATGGAGTTTTTCTGCCTTTTGTTGTAGGATCAGATTTTATTAAGACCTCGACTGGAAAAGAAACAGTAAATGCCACTTTCCCGGTAGCTATAGTAATGCTACGGGCCATTAGAGATTTCTTCTGGAGAACTGGAAACAAGGTATATTATTGCCAGCAAATCTTTCTTCAGAGGACAAATAATGTTATTTATAACACTAGCCACAGTCACGATCATCACCTTTATATGCAGAAGGTGTGAATGAGTTACCTTTATTAAGATAAATGTTTAATTTGCCTTTCACTACAAAAGAACGGGTTCTTGGAGAAATGTGTGATTAACAAAAAGTGAGTGTGAGTGTGGAGAGAAAGTATGTGTGATCAAGATGTAAACTCACTTATATCCTTTTATTAACCGAAGACAATTTTATCGCTGACAAGAGATTCCTAAATGGGTTCTTTAACGAACTAATTCTGCAGCAACACAGAGGCTGTCTGGTAAGGCGTTGGCCAGCGAAAACAGGTTAATGCAGAAATTAAACTTCCTTGAGGAATGGAAAGAATTGCAGAGTAACATTTATTGAATGATAAGCTGTGGTGGTGATATGAAAAGTATGCAATATAATGGGAAATAATCTTTTCCTGTCATTATTGAAGGACACACATAAATTGGTTTTTCTGTTGGGAAACCCCCGGTCCAGAAAAACTTATTACTTTTAATAATATGAGGTGAAGAGAAAATTCTCGAGGAGATGAACTTATTAAACAAAATAATGAAATGCTGTGAAACAGCAGGGAAAAGGTAGCTTGACGTTATATAGCTCTTGAATTAAATATCCATTTTTGCGTTTTATGGCAGTTGGATGTGCTCTTTGGAAGACTGTTAAGCTGAGGAGGGTATATGCTAGCTTTTGTCAGCTTTTCGAAAAATAATACATATTTTTTGAAACATACAAAGTTAAAAGGAAAATGCGTATGAGGTATTTTTTAAAATGAGTTTGGATTTTCCTTTTTGCTTCAAGTTGCTTGTTTAGCTGCCAATTATCTCAAAGGACTTTTTTTTTACATCATTGGAGAGAAAGGTAATTTTTTTTTTAATGAGACTTTCCTGAGAAAGGTACCTTTTAAAAAAGTCTCTTGATTTCTGCCAAATAGAAACCCAAAAATGCCCTTTGCCAACTGGATGTGATGACTGTATATGTGACTGTAACTTCAGTTTATTTTTGGAACTGGAGACCTTTTTTAAAATGTACAGCATTTGAGAGGAAACAAACTCCTTCCAGAATTTTCTCCTTCAGAGTGTCTTTCTATCTTAAAGAAGTAGACAAACATCTACAACGACTCATCTATGATAGTCAGTCCAACTTGGTAGACTCTGTTAACCTTTTTGTAATGATCCAAATAAATTTAAATTTTCTTTTAAAAAGCCATAAAAATAATCACTTAGCTTTTGGCCCCAGTTGAGACCATCACTCACTTGACTTGTGGTTCTCCTTGGCCAAAGAACATCAAAATAGACGTGAAGCTTTTTTTATTGACAGGTGCCATTATTCTCCTCCGTGGCATTTCTGAATCAGGGGTAGTTTTCAGGCACCTGTACATTTCCTAAGCTCCATCACTACTGTGGCTAAAAATCACTACTGGGCCCCTCCAGGTGGCGCAGCAGGTTGGAGCACAGCACTGCTAAGATGGCAGTGGCCTCTTCAGTGCAAGTTCGATCCCCAGTCCCGGAGGTAATCTCCTTAAATGCCTGCTGCTCTCCTCAGCAGTGTACTTCATTGATCTGCCTGTTCTGCTCCCCACTCTGTCTCTGGTGAATCCTTTCGCTGCCCCTGCATTTTTGGCCTGTACCCCAGTTTGCATAAATAAATAAAATCTTTAAAAAAAATTCTCCACTGGAGACGCACACACGTTTATTGAGTAGTTGTCTGTGCCATGCCAATCAAGATTCAGTGCTAGGGAAGCAAAATGAATAGATTCTTTTTCAGGAAAGTCCTTAGACCACAGCAAAGAATTTCAATACAAGTTTCAAATACTCAGTGTTCCAGAACCAAGTACAGAAGGAACAATACTCCTAACTTTAATTCACTTGACCCTTCCCTCAGCTAATAAACGGACTTCATCCGAATTTTATTAAGAAATGAAGATACAAATTGCACTCATTGAAGTGACAGTCGATTTCACACAGAGGGAATCTGTGTACAGGTTTGCAGTCTTTTCTTTGTACAAGTTTGCAGTCTTTGCCTGGACCACCTTTAGATGGTGAAGTTTACACATCCTTAATTTAAGGGGCGTTTTAAAACGTTGATGGGACACTTTCCAGACCATGATTAGTGTCACTCCTGAGAAGCAGAGGTTTAATATTTCATAACTGATTTCATTACAGATTTATGTTTTCCATTTTTTTTCTCCTTAACAAAATGCTAAACTTAAGCCTCCACCTCTCATCAGAAACATTGCCAAGCAGACTGGCTGACACAACTGAACTCTATAGGAAAAATCTATATGCGGCAAAGCCTAATTGATAGATACATTCCTGAGCTCCGCAGAGCTCAGAGTCTGTGCTGATGTCAACTGACTGAGTGTGGGGGAGGTGCCCTTCTCAATAAATAACCTCACCCCACCTACCTCCCTCCCTTACTTCCTGCCCCTCACTCCTACACAGTCAGTTGGGTTCCAGAGTAACAGGCAGACGAAGTCCAAATCTCTACATGGCTGCTATGTAGTGATGTGATGCTGTGTGACCCTGGTAGGGAAACCAGCCACCCTTGTTCCATGTGAGAACTGGTGAGTGTCGAAAACAGTAGAGGTGAGAACAGAGAATGAAGTGTGCATATGGAGATAAAGAGGTTAAGAAAGTAGGACCGAAGAACTCTTAGGGAGCCATGTTCACTCCCTCAGTCCACTCGCCAGCCTGCCACCTTCTACTTCTGCTCCGCCCAAACCCACCCTTTTCCGTGCCAGGACTTAACTGGCATCACACCTTACCAATACCCTGCACTGACCCCTGAGCAGAAAAGGAGTTACGTGACATTGCTCATGAGTAGAAAAGGAGCTACGTGACATTGCTCTCTGAATAGTGGTTCTGGAAAGGGGCGTCCTGGCTGCAGATGAGCATGCTGGGAGCATTGCCAGGTGGTTGCAGTCCTCCAGAGAACACTAGAGAAAACCGGTGCTTCTGTCACAGCTGCTGCCAACAATGTTTGAACCCCTGCCCTGGGGGCGTTGTCCTCTCCCGTGAGACATTCTACCAGAAAGCAGACTGTGGGCATCCCTTCCAAGATACCAAATCCAAAGTCAGAGCTGTGGGCATCAAGGCAGAAAAGGCCACAGGACCCATGCAGAAACAACTGGCAAGATGGCCACCCAAGGTTGGATGAGCCATCTGAATGTCTCCGTCCAGGATAAGGACAGAGCTAAGTGGCATTGTGTGCTGCAGGATGGGGAGCGCATCCGCTCAGTTCTCACCATCGCGGAGAACACCAGTGTTACGGCCCATTAGGCCAGCATCTGCTAGAATAACAGCATCTCCATCACAGAGCCTGATTTTCCCCGATGGGCACCACTTGCAATGCTGTCGGAAATGGAGAAGGTGCCCACTGCTGTCTGCAGGGCTCCCCATGACCACATCTACCTGCAAGGCACCTTGCAGAAGCACATTATGGTAGTGTCAGACCATGCCTGCTCCCAGAAATTTATTGATGAGGAGACTGCCTTGGCAACTCACTGCACAATGCAGCCTGCTGTCTCCTGGATCGCTTCCTTTCTGGGGGCTGGAGTTAGGAGGAAGCAGCCATTAACTGGTGCCAGCAACAAGTGTCCCCTTCTGAAGCTGTGGGCCCTGAGCTTCTCCTGTGGACAAGCCCTGCAGCCCTAGGATGGAAAGGAGAACCTCAAGGCTATCCAGGAAGTGTGTTAGGTGAGCCCTGGCCAAGAGCCTCATCTGCCAAGGAAGGTGCATACCAAGTGCCAGACTGGCACGGAGGCAGTGAGTCCCTCTTTGTCTGTACCAGGCCTGCTGAGCAGTGTCTAAGGCAGCCCCTTCAACATGCCAGGCCCTGTCCCTCCCATACTCTTGAAAAGGGGGTGTCATCCAGGGCTCCAGGTGCTCTTTCCCAGTGTTCTTGCCTCCCTGTGACATTGGTGTGTAGTGGTGTCTGTGTTTGCGACCCCCACTGCTCTTTCTAGCCCACTGCCAGTAAGTAACTATTTAAAGGGGAAAATAAGGAAGGTAGGACTGGTAGGATGTGACTGTTGATTGGAGTGGTGAAAAGATGGTGGAATCCACATTAATGATGAGGTTTCTGGGCTTGGTTGATAATGGACTATTTATCTGTTGTCTCTCTCCTCTAGCATCCTACCAGCAGTCATCCCTCCTGATGTTACCTATTAAGCCAACAGCTCTGAGTGGCCAAATGTCTGCACTTTAGGACAAACGGTGTGGGTTCTTCCTTTTTTGGATTGCTGCCATCTATAGATTTTCTAGTCTCCTGCAAATTCAAGTGCTTGAGACAAGGAAATCCAGATTTGCAGATTTTACTGTACATAGAAGGCATTTCTCCTAATTGTGTCGGGGACATCATTTATAAACATTACATATAAGCTGAATTGTGCTGTTTTATGGTCACCTTCAAAGGCGACTCAAGTGTGAAGAGCCTGATGCTGTCTTTTCCCACTATGCTTACTTTACCTGGGCTGCTGCTTTATGGAATGCCATATACTAGCAACTCAGAAAAAAAGTCTGCAGTTAAGTTGATTGAAACAACTGTCAACTTTTCTTGCTGATGGCTGTCAGTTTGGGTAGTGTGTCCTCACTGACGCTCTCCTCTTATTTAAATACACATTTGTATCTTTTGCACCTTAGGATAAAGGGCTCAGAGGTGAGCAGAAGGGCTTATTTGAAGGGTAGAATGAATTGGTGCTGTGGCATGTTTCTCTATTTATTGGCTTCTCTCTTGTTTATCCCATGTTGATGGCTGTGGTCTAGGTAGTTGGGGTTTATGACTTTCCGATAAATGACATGTTAATAGGGCTATTAGCTCTCCTCATTGTCTCCTCAGAAGCTGTGACATTGCTCCCATTAATCTTGGAAAAGTCATTTGTAGTATGAATGCGAGTGAATCCATGATCTAACCTCTTCTGGGTTAAATAAAGGGATGGGTAAACTTGAGACCCAGTTTTAATATGCACTTGTCGTTGGTGTTTTGGCAGTAACTGTTGTTTACCATACCACTTTTTTTTTTTGTTCTCCATTGTTTGCCTTTAAAATATATATATAATAGTTTATTTTTGCATCGTTTTGTGCCTTTTTCCAACTCAGTTGTAATCCCCATGGGCTTTCCACCACCAATTCACCCATGTTCCATCTTCATTGTCTGTAGTCCACCCCAGTTTTTGATCCCATTCCCCACTCTACCCCGGTAAATATCTCTGGTATATAGTTGTTCATTATTATTATTATTTTCTCCCCTGATCCTTTATACTCCTGCTATGAGTGAAACCATCCAGTATTCTTCTTTTTCTTTCTGGCTTATTTCACTAAGCATGATCCCTTCTAGCTCCATCCATGTTTCTGCAGAAGGCAAGTGTTTATCTTTTTTGACTGCTGAGTAATATTCCATTGTGTATATGTACCACATCTTTTTAATCTAGTCATCTATTTTGGGGCATTTGGGTTGATTCTGTGTCTTTCCTGTTGTAAATAAAGCAGCAGTAAACTTGGCACACCGCATTGTTTTAAAGCATGTTACCACAGCATAAGCTCATAAGCTTCCCCCTCTAGCCCACTGAACTCCCTCCACCCTTTGCTTCCCAGCCCTTCTGCGCCCTTCTTGGTAGTCTCAATTCTGCATCACATTCCAAGGTATTAGTTTGGTTTGGTTTTGTCAGTTCCTTTGCTTTGTTTATTTAGTTTCACATTATGTGTGGCATCACCCAAGATTTGTTTTTATCCTTCTGATTTATTTCATTTAACATAATCCTGCAGTTTCATCTTAAAAAGTACTCCAGTGACAACAAACATTATTCACCTTCCCTTTCAGGTAGGCTTTAAGCCAGCAGGAGGCATCCGCAGTGCAAAGGATTCCTTGGCATGGCTCTCCCTCATAAAGGAGGAGCTGGGAGATGAGTGGCTGAAGCCAGAACTCTTTCGAATAGGGGCCAGCACTCTGCTTTCAGACATTGAAAGGCAGGTGAGTAATAACCCATTGTCCTTGGAGCACAATGATAAATGTTGTTGAGGAAGAAATATCTGTGCATAGAAATGAAAACTCATCAGAATCACCTCACTGTACCCAAACTCACTGACTCCTTCCAAGCTAAACCGCCCCCAACCCCCACCTAAATTGGGGCGGATGGAGGTCCTACTGAAGCTCGTAATAGTGATACTTTATAATGAAATTAATTAAAATTATCACTTATGTCCAGTATAATTATTACTTGATCAGTATAATAATATATTAGAAATGATCTGAACTCTGATTTTCCTCAACAGATTTACCATCAAGTGACTGGAAGATATGCAGCTTACCATGATCTTCCAATGCCTTAAATCAGCAGCGATCAATGCCAGAAAGTTCTTTACAGCAGTGTTTAAAAATTACTTTTCTGTATCATTGCTAAAATTATTTAATTAAGAAATGGAGGAATGGGTGATAACTGACCTTCTTCCTCTTCGAGTGTCTGTTGAATTTAATTCAAAGAATGAAAGAAAGAAACGGCTAATCCACACATGTGTTCACTTCAGGCACACCTGATATGCTCTTAATTATCAGATAATCTGCACTGTTAGTTTAATGAAGACTTTTCTTAAAAACACCAAGTAAAATGTGACTGATAGCTTTGACAACATTAAATTTCAAGAAAAAAAATGAGAAATTGCCAAGAAATGTGATCTAGCCTCAGAAAATGCATTGTCCCTGAAATTCTGGAATCAGGCATATCAGAGGAACTAGCTTAGCACTAATTTCCTGCCCTGAAAATTTCTTTACATTTTCCAACAGATATGTTTTTTTCAAAAATTGTTTTGTTAATAAAATTTCTGTCATTGTTATATGAAAATATGGATAGCATTGAAATGTCTTTAATTTTAAAAAATCCCAGTAGTTACTAATTTTTAAAAAATGAACTTTTTTTTTTTTAAAAATTCTGATAACATTGGTTTATAGCATATTATACAATTTAGAGGTATAGAGTCATACCTGTAGGTGCATATTACCACATCACACTGTGAGCCAAGCACCACAGTCTCCCACCATAGCCCACTGGGCTCCCCATTCACTTAGATCTCCTTCCTCTTGTAGCCTCAACTCTACAGTCACATCTCTAGGGTTTGTTAGAACGGTTTGGTTTTATCTGACCCTTTGCTCCTCTATATCCCATATAGAAGTGAAGCCATTTGCTATTTGTCTTTCTTCTCCTGACTTATTTCCCTTAGCATTATCCCCTCCAGTTCCACCCATATTGGCACAAATGGCAGGAGTTCATCTTTGAGTAGTAGCCATTGTGTGTAGGTTTGCGCGCGCGCACACACACACACACACACACACACATCTCCCTAATATACTCACCTGGCCTTGGGCACTTAAGTTGCTTCCATAACTTGGCTATTGTAAACAGTGCTGCAGTGAACACAGGAGTGCCTATCCCTTCCAATTAGTGTTTTTGCTTTCTTTGGGTAGATACCCGGTAGGAGAATTGCTGGATCGTATGGTAGATCTTTTGTTAAAAACTTGCAATTTTAATGGTATGTACCGAAAATCAATCTGTTAAACATAAGAGTGTTTACCATGACTTTTGCATCTCTCTGGTAGAGTCCTTGAATATCTCAGGTAAAATACTTCAGCACTTTGTTAATGAAGTAAATTTTTATAATATTCTGAAACTTAAGGTTTTCTGGTGTGGTGAATAGTGGGAAATACAGCAAACTCTCAGTAAGTGCTGATCTCTTAAAATAATTCAACTCAGCTCCAATTCCTTTAGCAGTAAAGTATAGTACAGTTACCATACCTTACAATAGTAAGTACTGATATTATCAACCTTCTATACAAGGGACTGGAGCAAAGAGACTTTAAGATACTTGCCAAAAGTCACAGAGCGCAGAATGTGTGGCTCTTTGAAGGGTCTACATTCTCCTGCTGGCTCAGCGTCCCTCCCCTCACTCAGACACAGTCACAGCTCACTTTGACCAGACTTGAGGTCTGCCTGTTCCCTTTGCTCTCTCTGTCTCCTCACTTCCCACCTCTACTTTTTTGCTTGTTGGCCACCTTTACCAGATTATAGACCCCCAAGTTTTCTTCAAGGGTTATTTGCATAGAGAAGGTCTTTCTTCCTCCGTGGATTGGGTGTCCAGCAACTCCTCAGTAGAAAATACCAGGCTGGGGTCAGTGATACCATTTCATGCTTTTCCTATTTCTGCTTTTATAATGTCAGTCCAGTTAATTCACATCTCTGGCCCTCAGTTTCTTTATCTGTCAAATAAAGGGTTAGGGCAGACAGTTTTCTTTAAGACCTAAAATTTTGTTATCCTGAGGATGGTTATAACAGATCCAAGAAAATGTTTTCTGGCTTTAAAGAGCAATTTTTTAGCAATTTCAATTAGAATTTTCCTTTTGAGAGTCAATTGGGCCAGTCCCCTCAAAGTGAAATCTACATGAAATGACTAAAAGAAGAATGGAGAAAATATCCTGTTAAGTGCAATAACAGAAAACCAGCCCTGGACTTCGGCCTTTGTGGTCTGGGTGCCATTTAGGAAGGTCGATACCTTTTCAATATGTGGCTCTGGACCCCACCAGCAAACCAGCTTCTCACCTTTGGGAAAGAAACATGGCAGAAAAATAATTACCTTCTCTCACCTCTACTACTCCAGTTTCACAGGGGTTTTTGTTTCCTCCTATTAAACCCAACTGGCCATTTTAGTTGATGAAGTGAGTAGGTATTTTTATCCTCAATTCTAATTTCTTTGCTGTGTCCACTGAAATTGACCTCTGTGGACAATTACAGAGTCACATAGGAAATTAATACAGGCAAGTTGCTCAAACATAGCAGAGGAGAGTACAGGCCTGATCTAAAGGTAATCTTTTATTTGGGGGGATATTTTATTCCAGGGACTATTAGCCTCTTCATCAGAAATGTTTTCCCCTTACCTGGCTCTTGAAATCAAATGTAACACAGAGGACTTTAATAGTAAGCTCCTTGTAAATACAGATTACTCTGAAAACAAGAGGAAGAGGTCATCTCTGAGATGACTATGACTTGCTGCAAGTACATTTGTGTACTTTGGAACATTGGGAGCAGAAGAATTATACACAGAAAAACTGAGTTGATGTGTTACACTTATAGACTTAAACTAATCCTTTCATGAAATTGTTGTAATTGTTTTATTCCTATTAGGATTTCAGGTCATTTTTAAAACAACCTGTCATTTAATTTAGGAGCTTAAAGAAACTTTAGAGACAGTCTGGGTTTACCCATCTTTTTTTCTTTTTTAAAGGTTTATTTATTTATTCATACAGAACTGGGGTACGGCCAGAGGTGCAGAGGCAGTGAGAGGCGTCACCAGAGACAAAGTGGGGAGCAGAACAGGCCAACTGATGAAGTACACTGCTGAGAGGAGCAGTGGGTGGGTCAGGAGAGGTCTACTGCACGATGGGGTCAACTCTGGGGCAGGGATCGAACTCATGCTGAAGTGGCTTTAGCTTCTTAGTGCTGTGCTTTAACCCGCTGCGCCACCAGGGAGGGCCCTATCCATCATTTTTTACAGGAGGAAAGAAACTCAAAGTGGGGAGTTATGCAGGCCAGGCCATATAAAGATTCTGAGCAGACATCCAGAGCATAGGTCCACACATACCATGGCCTTGTTAGGTCTACAAATGGAGAGAAAATGATGAATGTTATCACAAAACAATTTAATATTTATGGTGTCTTGTGTCATTCTGGATTATTTCAGCACGATTGGGAAACATAGACAAATCAGTTCACATGCAAAAATAGTTTCCAAGGAGCCCTGTGCAAAAGCAAGAAAAGTTATGAATGTCTCTGAAAAGGCATCCTCACAATGATATGATGAAGTCTCTGTTTCCAAATCATTTCCTTTGGAAACGTCAACTTACGTGTTTTGTTCAGAGGAAAGCCAACATTAAATTTTCCTCTCTCAACCTGATGATTTTTTTGACACAACATAGTGGGCAGGTATGCTGAGAAAGAAGAACTGAATAGATAGTTCTTTCAGAAGAAGTGGAACGTTATACCCATTTTGGCACTAGGAAAAAGGTATGAGGTGAAATCAATTTCTACATTTGTTCCTTGATTATGCTCAAGAGTCCTGCCTCCCAAAGGAAAATATGAAAATTATAACCACCACCAAATGATCCTTTCCATAAATGACCACAGGTAACATCTGGAAGATATATAAAATATGTAGTAAAAATAATCATTTTTAATTAACTAAAACCTGCTCAAGAGAGAGCCAGAGGAATATCCATCTGGTCAATTCTTACTTAATAGGGCAAATGAGGATCGGGATGTTTAATGCAATATATGTGAAATACTTAGTGACCTTACCATGAACTAAAACTTTTTTTAGGAGGAAGAATGAGGATGAGGTGGAGTCAGAATATAGACAATTTTTTCCTGAAGTACATCTTGGATGGTAAAGTGCAGGGCAGGGAGAGAGAGGCACCCCCGAACCCCCAAATCTGCCTGCTCTAAATAGGTTCTGCTATCTGCCACATCAAGACAAGACATAAAAGCTTTAATGGAAAGGAACTTTAATACAAATAGTATACAACACAGAAGACAAAGAATACAATTTCTAGATCAAACACCTGAAGTTACCCATCCCCTCTTGGGCAAAAGGGATTGGCCCAAAGCAAGGCCTAAAAGCCCAACACAAGCCTAAAGCACCTTCTGACCGGGGCCTGTAGAAAAGGGTCAGAAATGGCCAGACAAGTCTCAGTGGAAAAGACCAAAAGCAAAATTAAGATAAATGCTGCCATAGTCAACCTCCCCATGGGTTTCTCACCCACATCTCTTTCAACTAGTCCTAGGCCAAGAAACAGGCACAGTTTCTTCATATCTCTCTCTGCTCCATGTGGCTTTCTCAGGTCTCCTTGTGGCTCTCCATCCTGCTTCCTTCTTCTCCAGACGTCTCTCTTCTCTGCTCTGCGCCACTCTCCTTCTGAGTGGGGCAGGGAACCTGAAACTTCCCCTTTTCCTAGGGAACCACCTGGCTACATAGGGACAATATAAGATACCCAGGTTTTGTGGCATTATGTCTTCTGGAACAGTGTTCATAACAGAAAATGTGTTTCAGTTCATGTAAATAGTCAAATGAGGCTTTACTTATTTTGCAACTTGAAAGTATAATGAAGTTTACTTAATAAAAGTAGAAGAAATTGAGATGTTTTTAACCAAAAAAGATTGAAGAATACTTATCTAATGACACCAAGAATGGTTATTTGTACATTAGGTTGTAGTATCCTCGAGTTCTACATTTCCTCTGTCAAAGACTGGGTTTTTCCCACATGAAATCAAGTTAGTCTTAGAGAAGAAAGTCTTTAATAATTTGAAATGTGTTTCAAGTAAATCTGATTTTCCTTCTCAAAAGTAAATTCTCCTTTGATTGGAGTGACTTAGTTGTGTTCCCAAAGAAAGTAATTTTCAAACTCTGAATTCTGAAACCAAAGAGAGTTGTTTTTATTTATTTATTTTTAATTGAGTTACTGGCTTACAATGTTGTAATTTAGCGGTATGGGATCTCCCCCTTTGGGGGTTATTATGTTACACCCACCACCAAAGCACCCATAGCCCACTACCATAGTCCATTGTGCTTCTTCCCCACTAATTCTCACCCCCACCCAATAGTAGCCTCAGTTCCCTTGTAAGTTTTTTAAGATTTGCTACTTGTTTGTTTTTATCTGACCCTGTTTCTCCGTATTCCACTTTAAGTGATAGCATCCAGTATTTGCCTTTCTCCATCTAACTTGTCACAAATGGCAGAAGTGTCTTTTTTAATAGCTGATGATGTTTCATTGTGTGTATATACCACAACTTTC